TTTGTAATCATGAGGCACTCAGTCCCATCCCTCGAGCCCACATAAAGAGCTGAGTGTCAGCTGGGTGTCATGGCGCGCATCTTGAATCCCAGTACTCAGGAGAAGAGGCCAGCAGATTTTTAAAAGTTTGAGGCCAGTAAGGTTTGCGTAGAGAGACCCTGTTTCAAGCAAATAAACAACAAACAAACAAGCAAAATAAAACAACACCAAAACTGGGCGTGGTGGCGAGACCTTGTAATCCTACTGCTAGGGAGACAGAGATGATAGATCCCTGGGGTTTCTTAGCTTAACCTATATGGTGAATCCCAAGCTAGTGAGAGACCCTAGCACAAATAAGTAAGTACATAAATAAAGGAGCAGAGGCAGAGGAAGGACACACCCAGGCTTGTCCTCTGGACACACAAACACCAGTATAGAGCGGCATAGTGGCTTTAGGGGCTTAAAGAGAAGGGCACTCCAAAGGAAATGGCAGGCTGGCCTCTGTGCCCTAGTACAGGATCACAGCACCTCCCTTCCTTTCTTCAGTTGTCAGGAGTGCGGAGTGGGGAGACATCTTTCACAGTGTTGGGAAACGTACAGAGTCTCCATTCTTCTATCTGGGTACATGGAAAAGTACACCTGTAGTCACAATTGAGGAAGAAAAGGCGGGGGGGGCAAGGAGCTGGAGACCAGTCCAGGTCAGATGTCTTAATAAATTCCAATCCAGCCTTGGACATACAACAAGTTTGTCTCAAAAACAACAAAACCCAGGGGTAGAGATACAACTTTGTAGTTAAGAGCACTCACTAGCTGTTCTTTCAGAGGATCCAGGTTCAGTTCCCAGCACCCACATGGTAGCTTAAAACTGTCTATAACTCCAGTTCCAAGGGCTCTGGCTCCCTCTTCTGGCCTCCATGAGCTCTGCACACATATAGAGAACAGACATACATACAAACATGACACAATACACATAAAGTAAAAATAAATAAATCCTTTAAAAAAAACAAATTCTGCTTTTCACTTCAGGGTTAATAGGAAGATAGAGACAGAGTACTGGGGACTCAAGAACTATCTGGGAAATATAATCACCTATAACCTTCTTTGCATTATCTCTTCCCCTACATAGATAGAAAGCAGGTGGTTTCTTTTTGTTGTTGTTTGACAGAGTTTCTCCATGTAGCACTGGCTATCCTGGAACTCACTGTGTAGAGCAGGTTGGCTTTGAGCTCAGAGACCCACCTGCCTCTGCTCCCCAGCGCTAAGATTAAAGGTATATGCCACTGTGCCTTGCTTAAATAATTTTTTTTTGTTTGTTTGCTTGTTTGTTTAGTTTTTTGATACAGGATTTCTCGGTAGCTTTGGGGCCTGTCCTGGAACTAGCTCTACTGTAAACCAGGCTGGCCTTGAACTCACAGAGATCTACCTGCCTCTGCCTCCCCAGTGCTGGGATCAAAGGTATGCACCACTACTGCCTGGCACTTGAATAATTTTTTAATTATTTTATTAGTACGGGTGTTTTGCCGACATGTGTGTTTGTGCATCACTTTGTATGTGGTGCCCTAGGAAGCCAGAAAAGGATGTAGGGTCTACTGAAATGGGGTTACAGACAGTTGTAAGCTGCCATGGTGGTGCTGGGAATTGAACCTGGGTCCTCTGGAAGAACAGCCATTGCTTCTAACTGCTGGGTCATCTCTCCAACCTTTGAAAGAAGAGGCTTCAGCTTGGGAACTAGCTTGGAATTATGCATATGAGTTGGTAGGAAATACTTTCTTTCCTCATGAAGCTGGTATTTATAAAGTATGAGTCAGGCAAGCCTCCATTCAGGAGAGTGGCAAGACTCAGTTTCCCTCTGAGAAAAAGTGAATCTGAAATTCTCTGGAGCTTGTATGCTTTTAGATGATTTTACTGTTTCTGGGTTTTTGGGTCTGGGCTCTTGGTACATTTTTATATCCAATTTTTAGTAGTTTAGATAAAGAATGCCCATTCCCTTTGGGTAAAGAAAAACCCTGTTCCTTTTTTAAGGTCTCTGTCTCTCACACTCTCTCTCTTTTTAATAATGCATGTTTTACCTAATGTATGTATGTGTGTGTCTGCTGCTATGGAGGTCAGAAGAGGGATCATAGCCCCTGGAGCAGGCTGTGAGCCACTGTATGGGTGCTGGGAACTGAATTTAGATTCTCTAGGAGAGCAACACATCAAATTCTGTTTCTTGCCACCTCTTACTCCAAGGCCAGGATGCTATTTCATGGGCTCCTGATGTTTCCACATCCATTCAGCCTGTTGGCTCCCCCTGCCCCTATTCTCCAGCTAAACCTCTCCCTCAGCCAGACGGGCCAATGTGGTGGAAATGTTGCTAAGTGCGGTAGTTCAGCTGTATACTTCTAGCACTCAGAAAGTTGAAGCAAGAGCATGAGTTGAAGCTAACCTGGCTACACTGGGCATTTCAGGCTAGCCTGAGACATACAGTGCTTCAAAAAAACAAAAAAATTTAAAAAGGAATGGGATGATGGCTCAGTCTTTCATGTTTGCCCCGTAAACATAAGGACCTAAGTTTGGTACCATGTCTATAATCCCAGCGCTGGGGGAGCGGTGGTAGTGGAGATAGGCGGATCCCTGGAGCTCACTGGCCAGCTCTCTAGCTGAAGGAATGGAGTGAGCTCCAGGTTCAGTGGCAGACTCTGTCCCAAGCAAACTGGGTGAAGAAAATGATTAGGGATGACACTGAGGTCAACCTCTCTCTCGCTTCCACATGTGCATATGCAGCTACACACACACACGTGCACACACACACACACACACACATGCACGCACACACACCACACACAAAGAAGATAAATCACTAAATGGTAAAGATACTGAGGCTCAGAGCTAGGAAGTGGGAGTCCAGTGAAGTGAATAAAGGGGGTTGGGGGAGCTTGAGAGGAGCTGGGGACATTCTCCATACACTCCTAAGAGAAGGCATTATCTTTTGTCTCATTCTTGCGAGCATTATCATGGGGTCGTCCCTGCGTAGCAGGTAATTCTGAGCACTTAAGAGAGCTCCCAGGAGGAAGGAGGTGGGATTGGGAAAACAAGGAGAAGTCAATGATGGCCCTTGCCCAGAGCTGAGGAAGCCCTTGTACACACTGTTGAGTCCTTGGGGAAACCCTGCCAAGCCTAAAGAATGGGCTGCTGGTGAGGAGCAGGGGGCCAGGGAAGGCAGATGGCTCAATACCAAAAGCTGCCTCTCATCATTATGAAGTGTGGAGGAGGAACAGCCTCCCTCTCAGAAATCTGCCAGGCTTTGCGCCAGAGGGAAGGATTTGAGCTCAGAATCTAACCATCATCAGGCCTGAGTATCCCCACCCCCTCCCATATGGGCTGAACCCAACACCCACTAATTCAATAAGGCGCACTCCCAGAGTTGACAGTCTCTCTCCAAGAGGGGCAGTTTGGGCTATGAGGGGTAAGAAAGGAGCAGCAGTATCTGGAAACAATTTATGGCGGTGATGGCAGGGCATCGGGCTGTGTAACAGAAAAGGGTAGGGGTCACAACGGACAAAGGTGGAGTGAGGGACAAGAGAAGGAGGCCTGTGGCAGCGGAGAGTGTAGGTCTCTTTGGAAGAGGAGCCTGAGGGTTATGAATCAGGAGTCTGAGTTCTCCCTCCTTCCTGCTTTGGAAGCTTTGGCTACACATACTTGGCAGCTATTTTGTATAAATACTAGTCTCCAGTAGTGTCCCTTGGGAAGGCACAAGAAACAGAATAAGAATGGGGGGGGGTGCAGAGAGGGAGGAAAGCCATAGGCAGTACCTGTCTTAGAAGGATGCAATCTGGCCCTACTCCTCCAACCATCCTCTCCCTGTTTATAGCATGGTCCAGGTACTCAGACGCCTATCAGTGTCCTTCTAAAGATCCACAAGGCCATTTCTAGAGCCTTCATGGGCCGCTTTCTCGAGATTTATCCCGATTTTCATTGAAAAGGTAGCTGAACTTGAATATAGTTCAGTGGTAGAGAGCTTACATAGCTGTACAAAACAGAGGGTGGGACTGAAGACAGTTGTTGGGGACTATAAATTGAATTTGAAGAAACAAGTTGAGATATCAGTCTTCCCAGGAACGGAGAAAAAGAGGGCGCTAGAACGCTGGCTGGGCGTCTCCAAGTGTGCTTTACAGAATAGGTTCACCCACAGTACCACATTACATTTTGTTTTCCTAGGCCTTTTAAACAGTGTTCGAGTCATACAATAATGTTAACCTCTTTTCTGTCCTTCCCCCCCCCCCACCCGAGACAGGGTTTCTCTGTGTAGCCCTGGCTGTCCTGGAGCTCACTCTGTAGACCAGGCTGGCCACAGACTCAAGAGATCCGCCTGCCTCTGCCTCCCGAGTGCTGGGATTAAAGGTGTGGAGCACCACCCCCCAGCTTCAGTTTTTTCCTTACTTTTCTTCATATATAAACAATATTCAGAATCAGGGGATCCTGGGAGCACTGTCAGATTTAGGGGTGAAATGGTGGTTCTGTGCACCTAGCTACAGCTCAGTGTCCCTTTTGGAACAGAAATGTGAAATGAAAACTGTGGTGGCAACAGGGGCTTTGGAGAACAAAAAACCCAACAGAAGCCACCCATTGGCCTACTTACTGGGGAATAACCAGAGTATCAACATTGAGAGACAGAGGGTTTCTTCCCTGGGCACTGAGTCTCCTGGTACTAACTCCTCAGCTTTTTGGGTAATCTCGTAGAAAAACCAACAGAACCAATTGATCCTTTTGCTTGCTTGGCCGGG